CGCCTCAGCATCACCCTCTGCGCCTCACCTCCGGGGCTCGAGTCCCGCCTCAGATTGATCGGCATAATGGGCGCCGTGCTGCTCGGCGAGGCCGATGCGATGGGGCTGGCGTCGCGCGTCGTTCTTGGGAGGAGGCCCGGCGCGTCGACGCTGTGCCGCGCGCGGTGGGTGGGCCGGCGCGGGGAGGGCGGGGCGAGCTCGGATGTCGGCGACGAGCCGCCGATGACCGCCACCTTTCGCGGCGAAGCCCTCGCCGGGCTCAGGCTCAGCGGCGATAACGACAACGGCGGCGGGGACGACGACAGCACCGCATCGTGGCTCGGCCGCTTGATCAGGATCGGCGGACTGCGCGGCGGGGACGAGGCCATGGGCGACGCGGAGCGCTGTTGCGACTTTGATGGTGTGACGGGTATGGCGAGCTGCGAGGGCGGCGGCGGGGAGGTGAGGTCCATAAAGTCGTCCGGCCATTTGCCTTTGCCTAGCCGTATGCGCTCCGCGCGCTCGCCGGCTCCGTTCGGACTTTTGGCGCGTGCGGTCGCCGCCTCGCCTTCTTCCTCCAGTACCCGACTCAGATCGACGTTGGCCGTCTCGGATGGCCTGCGCTTGCGGTTGGGCGTGAGGGGCGGTTTGAGCGCAGTTGGCGGCGGCGGCTGTTGTTGTTGAGTGTGCAATGACGGCGACACAGATGAGGTCGAAAGCGACAGCGTGTCCTCGAGCGAGGCAGCGAGCGAATCGGCTTCGGCCTTCGACAGCGACGGCCACTCGCTGGGCAGACTGCTATCAGCGGTCGTATTGGTCCGCATAGTACCATACCTCGCCGCATTCGCCTCCATCAAGCTCAAATTCGAAAAGGCCGTGTTCTCGCTGTCGGTCGTCAGCACGCTGGCGCGCGCGGCGGATTCGGCGCGCTCGCGGGCGCGCAGGGGCGAGCGGGGCGGGGGGATGGGCGGGACGTCGTCGAGTTCCATGGATAGACGGTTGTGCTCGGTGTTGGTCGAGCTGCTGAGGGAGCCTTCGGGCGAGTCGGCCCGGACGGTCGGCAGGGGAGGCGGCCAGCGCGCTTTGGATATCGGGCTCGACTTTCCGGGGCTCGAGAGGTTGGGCGTGCTATTGGCGCCGCGCCCGATACTGCCGCTGTATATCCCTCCCCCATTGGCTTTCGAGCCGCGAAGAACGCTGGGAGCGGCGGGCGCCTCTGCCCAGACGATGAGCGCAGAGACGGTCCTGGCCACGCGAGCGAGAGAGTCGGCGGTGGCTTCGATGAGGTCGTCGCGCATGAATCTGTCCGAGGAGGGGAGACCGTGCTGGGCGTGGG